TCTTAGCCAATTAGATCGCCCGAATATAACTGCGTGATCATGTGACACCGCGTGGACTTCCGTTGGATGTCATGTTACCCCCTTCAGCATACCCAAGTACATACCATTGAGATGGGGGCTTCTGCCAATATTTATATAATAGATTATGCAGAAGCCCCCACTTTCAGATACAGCTGGATGCCCTTTATTCTATAATTTGCTCACTAAGTTCAGATGAAGCCTTCTGCCATTTTTATATAATATAATTCTGCAGAAGGCTTCATGCCACATCCGACTACACACTAGTGATAGGGTAGTCTTCTGCCAATATTATATAATAGATTACGCAGAAGACTACCCTTTCAGATGTATATTTGGATACCTTCCTTTTGCGATTTGGTTATAAAGTCAGATGAAGTCTTCTTCCAATTTTATATATAATATTTCTGAAGAAGACTTCACTTTCAGATACATATATCGAGGCATAGAATTTGCTCTATTTTTTTTGCATGTGGATCACAAAATCCATACCCGCCTCTAGTCCATTCCTCACACCCGAGTTGTTTGCAAGGAACTTGCCATATCTGGTACATACTAGTGTTAGGGTATTCTTCTGCCAATATTTATATAATAGATTACGCAGAAGAATACCCTAAAATACATATACCCGAGTACATACTAGTGATAGGGTAGTCTTCTGCTATTATTTATATAATAGATTACGCAGAAGACTACCCTAAATACTACCTATTAAGAATATGTTTATCTGCGTTTCTCTACCTATCCTGCTACATGTTTCTTATGACACACCCAGATACATACTAGTGATAGGGTATTCTTCTTCCATTATTTTATATAAAGATTACGAAGAAGAATACCCAAAGACCCTTCTATTAAGAATCTATTTATCCGCGATTCTCTTACCAACCTGCTATATGTATCTTTTTGCATCTATCAAAAAAAATAATTAAACATTTTAGAAATATATTATGATATAATAACTTTACCTACTGTCAACATGCGTACCTCAACTATTTTTGACCAAACTGATCGCATTAAATCTGGCCCTACGCTCGCCCGCTACGACAGTGCCGAGTCCGATGAATACCTAAGTAACTCTAGCAGTTGTACTGATAATGGATCCAACTTAGGGTCAGATAATTATAATAATTGCGAGTCTAATTATGAGTCAGATAATGAAGAAGCTACCTGCGCCTCAACCAGCATTATCAAGACTCCATTTGTACAAGAGAGATGGGACTCACCTATTAATGTGACATATACTTTAAGGCAGGAAAAGTTCAATGATAATTTTTCTCCCAAGAATTTGATAAGTGAAATCCAAAAAATCGTCTTATCACCATCTAGAGATATGTCGAATGATAAAGGATCATTGGAATGTCTTCCAATTTATTCATTCCTCTTTCCGAATGAAAAAGGTTCTAGCTTATATAACGCTTATGACCGAAGTGAGGTAGAAGATAAATTAGTTATCAAAATCGACCAAGATGGTGATCATGCTCCCAAATTTTCTGTTGCAGATGATATTTCAGAAGTATATGGCCTACCCGGGATTCATGAATGTATTAATGGCCAAAAACCTTTAAGAGCCGTGATTGACATAGATGCTTCACAAGAAGATATGAAAACAACTGATGTTAAGGCGCAAGAAGTATTCTTTCGAATCTGCCTATCTTTTATAAGAGCCTTGTATCGAATTCTTGATTGTAGCTGGGAGGATATTCTCAATGGTTTAGTAATCGCTACATCATCGGACTCTAGCAAGTGTAGCTACCATATTTTATACGCACCAGCTCTTCTTATTGATCATCACGAACTCAAAGCATTTACTGAATTAGTATATACTATAACTGGGGAAAAATTCGGCAAGTTTATCGATCGGAAATTACCTGGTCAAAATTTTAACCTTCGTCTTATTGGTTCGGCAAAAAAAGGTCACGTAAAGCGTATTCTTCAATTCTCTCTAGATAATGGCTGGAATGAACTCGATCACGTTAGGGTTCAACCGCCTTCTAGTTTGGGACTTGAAGTAAGACCTCGGATGCTAAGTGAAGAAAAAAATAATAATCCATTAAAAATAATCGTAGGTCAGGATGTATTGCAAAAATACGCGAAACTTGTTTTGCAAAAGCATTCTAACTATCTTAGGGATTGGACTATCGAAGAAAAGGAAGAAACGAAGGAAAACTTCATATATTTCAACCGGAAAGCTCTACTAGAATGTCCACTCTGCAAACGTATACATGACAAGGATCAGCGGTGGTTCGGTCGTATATACGCCAGTGGTGAATTTATCGTAAAATGTTTTCGGCAGAATAGTGATGAGCGTGGGGAAATTTTTGAATGTGACCCATCTATTGCAGAAAAAATTCAGCAAGAAAATAAAAATTTACCACAAGCCTCCTCTCATAAGATAAAAGGTCCAGGATTTCCTAAAGCTTTCGTAAAAATGCCATCTTGGGTCAAGTATAATGAGCTCCTTTCAGTAACAGAAACATATGAGGAGAGATATGCAAGACCATTACCTAATGAAGGCGATATTTATGTGGGATCACCTTGGGAGACGGGAAAAACATATATTCTAGAGCATCTTACTATATCTGATGATGTGAATTTACTAGTATTATCCACGCGTCACTCCTATTCGAATGCTGTTACTACAAGACTTAATCTCAAATCATATTGCGATATTGATGGTAATATAAATCTTTCTGATCACAAGAGAGTTGTGTGTCAGATAGAAAGTTTACATCGTATTACTAATAATTGTAAATGTAATAAAAAATGCAAATGTCTTCCAATTCAATATGACTTATGGCTTGATGAAATAGTATCTATAATTGCTCAAGCACAAAGTCGTTTAGCAGGGCAATCAATAGAGAAATTATATAAATTAATCCAAGAGGCTAGATGTATTATCATCATGGATAATGACCTTACTGATCTTAACATTGAATGGATTAAGACCCTTCATAAGAATATACCTTTTTCTATTATTCATAATACTTATCAGCCTCAGAAAGGTAAGACATTCCGCTTAGCACCTAATAAAGAAACTGTGTTAGCTGAACTCTGGGATTGGGCTAAGAAAATGTCTTTACTACCTTTTGAGTCTCAGAAAAGTGCTTCACTTATTTGCCATCTCAGAAAGGATGTGCAAGGAATTATTCGTGCACTTAAGACTGATTTTTCAGAATTACGGATTAAGGAATATCATGGCAAATCTGATCCAGTAGAAAAGGCTCAAGATTTTAGCAATGTAGAAGAATCATGAAAAGACTTAGATCTAATTGCCTATACTAGTACTCTAAAAATAGGGGTATCATGTACCAATCCTAAGTTTGAGCGAGCTTTCTGTCTTTTTAATAGTTACATAGAAACAAACGCAGGAACTAATCAAATGTTATTTCGCATGCGATGTATTAAGGATTATATATGTCATATTGAGCAGAGATCTTCTAACGTTTCCATTATAGAAAAGGGATTATTTCAGTATTATTAAATGCTAAACGTGAATGTCTCCCACGAGAACTTCAAAATAGAGGAATATTTTCAGATATTGATTCTATTATTCGGAATAAGGATATACCAACTGTTCAATTATGAGTAGCATATATGTTGGAGAGATTCCGTTCTTATCATTTATTTGGTTGGAGAATGATCGATTTTCTCTAAAAGGTAGGTATGGTAATTTCTATTATAGAACCTATACCTAAATCTAAAGATAATATGATATCGTTATCCCAAATAGTAAAGGTAAGTTCATTTATCATTAAAGCGGAGGAAATAGCAGATGTTTCTAATGCTACTATTGTCGATCGTGAGACTGCTGAATTTTTAGAGAATAAATCAAAGAAGACTTTAGAAGAGATGCGGTCTCTGGACTGGCACCATATTGCAGATGACTATGAAATGTCACCTGAGTTATTGACCGAAGATTTTATTTCGAAATATGGAAATTTTAATCATATAAAATGGTTTAGAGCTTATAGGCAATTACGAGATGCTGGCACTGACAATGAAACGGCTGTTGAAGCTATTATTCATAAAGATTATAGGGATGATAAACTTATTGTAGCCACTTGAGCTGTGAGACATCGAATTTGTCTAGAATTGCTAAGGAATTGTACGCCTATTAGCGATGTCGATGATAGATTAAGATATAAGTCTGATGATATCAAAATATGCCTGAATTCTTCTGAATCAATATTATCTCCAGGGTTTAGTGCCTAAAATGGCTCGAGTGTTTGATAATACCGATGCATCTCGCAGTGCTAAAAAATCAGAATTGAAAACAATTCAGGCGAAACTTGGTTTACTAAATTCTGTACTTAACACAGCATATGGGATGAAGCTTAAAGCTACCAATAAGAAAAATTCCTATTGTCATTTAGTTAGTTCATTCGATAATGAAGACGCATCCAAGCTTCCTTTATACCAAACAGGAGAAGAAATATACTGGGAGAATGATAAAGATACCCGATATGCATATAGTAAGCTCACTTCTGATTAATTATGTAATGTTTCTAGTTCTAGCGAAGCGAATATTATGCAAATCACAGAAGATATTCAGGATTTATTTGATATCTGTTAATATGTTACCATAAATAACTATTATTTCAGGATATTCTAGAAAAATAAATGTATATATGAAAATAATGCGATACTGTGAAAAATTTTTTATTAATACATGTGAAAAATAAATACAAATTGTTCAGAACGTAGCCCATGATATATGTGATTTTCATTAATTCTGGTCAAATCGAAATAAATCGAAATTTTTGGTTCAAATCGAAAGAATTTTTACAGTAGTATTATATGTCACCCATAATAGCATATGTACATATGTATAGAGAATCACTTGATACTGAGCCTTGAGGGAGCAATATCATGTGACATTTACAATGGCATATATGTAGAGAAAAACTTGCTGATAACAGAGGAAGTAATATCATATGACCCATAACAGTATAGTGTAGTTTCTGCAGAGAAGAATAGTAATGACGTACTATTGCACATATATCAGAGTATCGTACTGCGCATAATATTGTTATCTTACAATACTAATGACTGAAAATTAGTATTAACGTAAGATTAACAAGGGATTTAGCTTTAAGACTTTATAATACGATTTATGGAGAGCTTCTGAAGGTTTATCGATCAAATATATTTTAGAGACAAAGTATAATTTCTGGGTTAAGTATT